GACCACTTCCTACTCTTCCAGAGGTCCTGAGTTCAGTTCCCAGTAATCATATGGTGGCTCACAACCATCTGTAGTGGGGTCTACTGCCCTCTTCTGGTGTGTCTGAAGACAGTGACTGTACTCATACATAAGTGAGTCTTAAAGAAGATTTTACAAAAGTACAGCTTAGGCCATTTTAAACACAGCTTTGTTTTTCTGTTTCTCTCTCTCTCTCTCTCTCTCTCTCTCTCTCTCTCTCCCGCTCTGTCTCTAGAAACTAGCTTTAAAAGGATCTGCTCATATCTTTTTTTTTTTTTTTTTAAAGTTTGAAGGTAAAGTTGTGGTGGCGCATGCCTTTAATCCCAGCATTAGGGAGGCAGAGGCAGGTGAATCTCTGAGTTCCAGGACAGACAGGGCTACACAGAGAAACCCTGTCTCAAACAACAACAAAACAAACAAACAACAACAAAAAAGCTCAAAGGTGAGGCTGGAGAGTTAGGTTAAGATCATCAGGTAAGGCCTCTTGTGCTCTGTATCCACATGAAGGCTCACAACCATTCATAACTCCAATTCCAGGAGAGTCTGACACCTTCCTTTAAATCTCCCCAGGCATGAGTGTGATGTATAAATACTCATACATGTAAAACAAGATACATACATCTGAAGGGAAAACAAAGTTTAAATGGTGCTTTAGGATCCAAAATAAAAAGCACCATCTTTCCCAGGTCTACACAGGCTAACTAACTTGTGTTAAGGTACAGTGTGTGTAGGCAGGCAGCTTTAGCACACAGCCAAACACCTCAGATGGAAATTCTGGCTTGGCAGAGTGGAGGCCATAAATTCTCTTAGAAAGGATTTTAGTCTACAGCCTCGCCTTGCCTCTTTGCAGTGGATGGCTTTTCTCCTATCTGAATACTCTTCTTCTCTGAACACTCTTCCTCAGTCAAAGCGCTTTCTTACGTTCTCTGCCTGACTACTTCATGAGAAGTAAACTTGAGAGGCAGGGCACTGTTTGGTCCATTCTCTCCCTCTGTCACCTGCCATGAATAGCAGACACATGGAACACGATTGTCTACTGAACAAATGAGTGTTAGATCCCAAGCCAAGTACCACTGTGACTGGGTCACAGCGAAATGTTCAGAGAGTGCTGGCTGGCTGAATGAATGAACAAATGAGCAAACAGGCTGCTCTGATATGACTTCCATGCAATGAAAAGATTATTGCAGAAAATATGTGGAAGATGAGGGCAGTAGACAGACAGGCATCAGGTGAGCGGAGTGAGCCCCACAACACAGGCCATAGTCCTGCCTGGCCCCAAAGGCAATCCCAGCTGCTGTGGACTGTGGCATCTAGGGAGACAGGTCAGGCATGCCCTAGGGGCCTCCTAAATCAGGGTAGGTCCCTAAATTATGCCTCAGGCTATGGGTGGCGATCAAGACCCTTGGTCAGACTCCCAGGTCTGAATAGCTGAAAGCATTTCCAGGACCAGAAGACTATGCCTCCCTGGGCAGGAAAGGGTACAGATGGCTGCATGGTTGACAAAGTTCTGCTGCACTCACCCCTGTCCCGCCTGTCAGGAGGGTTTTCCCCTTTGACATTTTGTGGTCAAGGACTGAGGACTGAGGCCAGAGTGGAGATCAGAAAAACCTAGGACAGGCTGGGTCTAGGCAGCAGGGCTGGCTTTTCATGACAGTGTGAGCCACATCAAGAGGCCTTGGAGTCTTGCTAACCTGTCTGCACACTTCCCTCCAAGGCCTGTGGCTGGCACAGTGAGAACATAATCCTGAGTTGAATTCTGAAAGTTCCCTGGGGTAGCAGAAAAACTGAATGCCACAGGGCCAGAAAAGACATGGGGCTGCCTACCTTTGTCCTGAGCTCAGAGCTAAGCACTGATTCCACTCTCAGTCACAGGGAAGCCGAGAGACCTAGGGCCAGCCTCAGCTACCTTCTCCTGTGTTCTTGACAGTGAGAGGCTTTTATGTTTTTTTTAAATGAGTGTTTTAACAACTTCACATATATAAATATAAAACATTGATCATATTCCCCCACCATCTTCTCTCATTTCCTTCTCCCAAATCCTTTCTTCTTAACAAGGTCCCTCACAGCCGGGCAGTGGTGGCGCACGCCTTTAATCCCAGCACTTGGGAGGCAGAGGCAGGCAGATTTCTGAGTTCGAGGCCAGCCTGGTCTACACTGTGAGTTCCAGGACAGCCAGGGCTACACAGAGAAACCCTGTCTCGAAAAACCAAACCAAACCAAAAAAAAAAAAAAAACCAAAAAAATAATAAAACAAGGCCCCTCACACTTTCATGTCATTGTGTGTGTGTTTGTCCCACTGCATTTAATCAGAGTTGTCAGCATGAATGTCAGTTGGAGGCTCTTTACGCAAGCAAAGCTTCAGTGCTAAATAATATGAATTCCTTCCCAGCGGCTATTAACTGCCTATCACTACCTAGGCAGAGACTGGGCCTCGTGAGCCTCTCTAGCACCCAAGGGTTCTTATCTTCCCTGCAAGTAGCCTCAGCTCACCAGGGCTGTGGCCTGAGTCTCACTAGTTTTGCTGTACTGAGTAGTATTGGTTTCACTTTATGTAGCTGACTATTCCTGTGCCTAGCTATGCATTTGTCCCAGGAACCCCCAAGGCCCCACTGCAATATGGCATTT